CCTTCGGAATAGGGGAATTTCAGGAATAGCCTGAAACTCCATCTTCTCACTGCTAAGCCCCACCTTCTTCCCAGTTTTATCTCTTAATGTTGAATGAAAACTTGCATTATCCAGATAAGCAATAACGCATAAACTTTATGATTTTATATTCTGTTCTTACTGTTTCCTATTGTGGTTTGTGATCGTGATCGCAAACCACATTTCTCATGTTAAATTTCAGGTGATAGCAGGGCTGAACAAGAAAGCTTTTCTTTGCTTCAGTGGAGCTGTGAAAAAAGCTGAAGAAGAGGTACAGTCCATGTCATTTGACCATATCGACATAAATGGAATTATTGTTGCTTATATGACATTGGCTAATTTCTGTGACAGCCATCTTCGCAAAGAAGAACAAAATTCAGCAGGCAAGTTAAAGGATGACTTGTTCATTATTTTAGTTCTGTAACAAATGTCAGAGAAGATTCGCTTCAGACTGATACATGTCATTTTTGATATTGTCCCCTTAATTTGAACATGTGTAGTGCTAGTGTTTGCAACATAAGGTCAGTCTATGTTCTAATCTTTATTTTATTTTGGTAAATACCAGTTCTCACCATGCTAATGATGCATTCCTGCTTTTTTTTCATGCTATCTAAAATTTACTGTTTTGGTGCAGTATAAAAATGTCACTTGGTTGATTTGTAATTTTTTAAAAAATAAAATACACTTAGAAAATATGTTACTTCACCTTTACTTGTATTTATTAATTTTGAATGCCCCAATAATGCTAAAAATACATAGCAGGGAAAATGATCAGAACATGACAACCAAAAAAATTGGGTTGTTAAAAGCCCTCCCCCTATTGTACAATAATACAATATCAGTACAGTATCTATTTTGGGAATATAATCCTGTCAAGGGCAAGGTAGAGAGTTCCTGTGGCTGTGTGATTTCTGTTCTTTTGGTGATAATCCCTTAAAGGCAAGGCAAGGATTTTTCCTATGGCTATCTGAGTTTTCTCAATGGTTTCCTTCAGGCAAGCGCTGGGCTGGTTTGTTGATTCAGCTTTGTTACATTTTTACCAGGTGTGAAGTGCTTGTGGCTGAACACCCAGACATGTAATTAAGCTTATTAAGAGTTTCTCCAGCCACCTGGGGAAAGAAAAATGTGGCAAAAAGTGTCTTTTTATTATACTATTGTGTTCGCTAGCTTTGCTGGTGTTATGGGAATAAAAATGGAGCAGATAATTTGCTAGTATTGCTGCAAATATTCTAGTTTGCAGTAATATTAGCAAATTATTTTAGTTTTCAGAATAGAAATAGCATCGATTATGCTGGTTGTTGATCAGATAGAGTTTAGATAGTATTCCTTTTTGGTCCAAATAGACTTTTCACTTGCCTTCAATAATGATTGTTTGTAATGATTGTAAGTGATTGTTAATCAGTGTGGGCTCATTTGGAATACATAGTCCAGGGGATAAAAAGTGTGCATGCTCAAAACCAGCAAATTTATGTGCTAAAGCTGACCAGATAAGGACGCTAGCCAGATGAATACCTGGTAGGTAGGTTCCCCCCCCCTCAATTTTCCTCCCCCAAAACTAAGCTGTGTCTTATACTCCGGTGCATCTTATGCTCTGAAAAATATGGTATTGAAGAGAAACTGGGCAGTTTCAAAAAGGAATGAGCTATAGCTATCAGTTTTAGTAGCTGTTCATTGTCTCCTGAATCTCAGACATATGTCCTGGATTAAAGTTTTGGCCACTATATCATCCAAAATGCTGGACTAGCTGCCTTGCACCTAATCCAATAGATTTCTTCTCGCTATTCTTCCTACTGTTGTAAATGTCATTCCTGACAACCTTCAAATCTTATACTGTATGTTGTTTTCTTGAGAAGAATGTGATGATAGGTGAAATGTGAGGTCTACAGAAGATTTGACAAAATACTTTAGGGGAAAAAATGAATGCATTATTTTATGTAGCCCTAAAAAATACCTTTTAAATTAATCACAATTTCTAATCAACATTAAAAGTTTAATATTCTGTTGATGGTCTTACATTCTGCCAGATGTAAACACTGAGGATTTGCAAATATTTCCAGCAATTGTAGTGGAAAAAGTAATAAAAGCTTTGAAACTAAATTCAAATGAAGCAAGGTTAAAATTCCCCAGGCTGTTGCAAATTGTAGAGAAGTATCCAGAAAGGATTTTGGAACTCATGGCACAAGAGGTGAGTCTTCCCAGCTCTAAAGGAAGATATATTATTTACTTTTGTAAGCCCCTCGTAATCTGGGTGATCAGCATGTACATTTATAAATATTTTTTGAAAAATTAAAACCACTGATGGTTTACTTCAAAAAAAGAGAAGATATTCTCGCAGACATTTGTACCTAACCTCTCAATGGAATCAGTTCCTTGCTTTTGAACATTACTTGCTGTAGCACACTTAGCAGGCTTCCAGCATAGGTCATCTTATCTGCCTCAGAAGAGCATCCTACAAATTGATGCTTCACTCATAGGTGGTTCTGATAGGTGGTTTATTCCTTGTGGAGAATTTTATTTTGTTCCAGTGACAACTGGAAAAGTGCCCTGATTCTCCCTGTCCTTTTATCCTGGGTGAAGCCTATGTTTACATTTAAATATAATAAATGTTTAGGATAGACACTCAAAGGAACAATATGTGCAACCATCAGTATTGAATACAAGGTTTGTGGTTTGCTTCCATTGCTGATAAGAATATTGTTACAAATTCTGGGCAAAAACTAGTTGATTTTCGTTTATCTCAAGTTCATTGGTTCTTGGAAACATGTTAGCATGTTCTTGGCTAAATTTGGCAAACTTTTTATACATGCATTTTCATATTCCAGCAGGCAGAGACTTTAGTTTTTATGAGTTCAGGGGAGTTAGGATAGAAGCATGCTTTATTTGCTGTAATCTACATTCACAGTTACTGTTTTCACAGATTTCTTCAATTCCCTGCTGGCAATTCATTGGTTGGATCAGCCAGTTGATGGCAATGCTGGATAAGAATGAAGCACCTGCCGTTCAGCATACAGTAGAAGAAATTGCTTCTAGTTACCCACAAGCAATAGTGTATCCCTTCATGATCAGCAGTGAAAGCTTTTCTTTCCCCAAAACTGCCATAGGTCATAAAAATAAGGACTTTGTAGAAAGGTAATATTAAAAATGAAAGAAAATATGTTTTAGAAGAAAAGCAAATTATCTCTTATGTTTAGGCAAAAGTGTAGTCTGCATATAATTTCATACGCTACATTTAAATGAAAAGGTGTTTTTTTTTAGTTTGCTAAAGGTTAAAAAAATGTCAATATGTTAATTCTTCCTACTAAGGAATTACATATTTGCTGAAACAAGTTTCTATAAATTGTAAGTTCATTCAGCCTATTGATCTTGCTGCCCCTAATCTGTGTTATGAAGTGGCTCAGAAACTATGATTGTCTTTTTTTAATTTTGTTTTTTATTGTATCTATTCAGAAAGAAAGATAGACATTTATTTAACAACCTAAATAGTAAGGAATCTTAATTTAGAGAGTAGTTTAAATTAAATCATTAAACTTTGAACTAATTTATAGTCTCTCTTTAGACCAACCACACAACCATATGTGGCCCTAGACAACTAGTAATCCAGTCCCACAGAACCACAAGAAAATAAAGTATTAAAAAATAAAGGAACTTTGTTATTTATATATGTTAACTATATTATATATTTTATACCTGGCCCAAGACAATTTCTCTCCACTCAGTGGAATCCAAGTAAGCCACAAGATTGATCAACTATGGTTCAGATGATTGTAGCTGAAATAGTTTGCTTATTAGTTGAAAAACTGTTGCTAGGATAACACTTTAAAAAAATTAAGGGGATCGTTTCTCTTTCCTTGTTGCACTTTTTCTTTCCTTTGTAGAGTGAAAAGCAACTTGTATGAAGGAAGAGTGATCCAAGATTTTGTCCATTCCTTGGAACAGCTTTCTAATCCAGCAATACTATTCAAGGTACATCTGTCAAATTCTTCATAATCTGAAATTATCTATATTTATTTATGTGGCGTCTTGAATATGCCAAAATCATCTGTTTTTGCTGTTCACCCAGTAACTTTTTTTATTCCCGTTCAATTTTGTCATCCTGTCATTTTTACCCTTTTAAATAAACCTCTTGTTTTCTTGGTTTTAATGTTGTAACTATTTGTAAAGCACACAGAATCTCTGGGAGTTAGGTAGCCAATAAATTTAATAAAACATTATCTATCTTCAGCAGAATGAATTTCTGATTATGACCTGCTTGCCATTACATTTTGATTCTGCTATCAGTTCATTTCCTAAGAGAAAAAATAATTTTTATTCTGCATTTATAGGATTGGATTGAAGATGTCCAAAATGAGCTGGGAAAAACTAAGAAAAATACAAATAACATTCAGCAATTGTATGATGGGATGTACCAAAACCTTGGAAATTTAGATGCTCCTGGTCTTGGGTGGTTCAGAAAGCAATTTATTAATGTATGTATTATGCTTTATAGTTGAATACTAGTGAGTTTATAAATTAACTTGATTTTTTTTAAAAATAGTCATATGTATATTATGGTTACATATCCCTGTCATATTGACAATTCTTTAGTGCGACTGTTCACAAATCTTAGCTGTATGCACAGTTTGAAAACATTTTTTAAAAACTCAGTCAAACAAAAAATATTTAAGGGTCCCAAATTATGGTAGTCCACCATTATTATTATTGCTCAGGCTGCAAATTGAAAAGTTGAAAGCAGAATAGAAGTTTTGAAACATTCCTCCAGAGGGAGCATTCATTCTGATTTTACAGAATGAAAGAAAACTAAAGAAGTTTCCAGTTGCATAACTACAGAACGTAACTACAGAAGAGAGTTTAGATCCACTTCAAGAAATTTTTTTCAGCCTTTTTCAAAGCTCAGCCTCTTCTGAAATTGTTGAGCACAGTAAAGTAAAAATGAAACTTTTCAGCATAATCTGTGTTTTTAGGAATAATCATTAGAAGTCATCACTGCAACAGCTGCTATTTAGCATATTCATTCATAGAATTGAGCCATTCAAAAATTAGTATGTATTCTATGGGTGATGATTTGGCAGAATTTTGGGAATCTCCCATATTAACTGATTGCTGGTCAGCTGGAAACCAGACATTATTGATGCTTTGGTAGATCTGAGGTAAATGAGTATTAGAAAGACTTATGAGTTCGTTGTTGTCTTAGAAGGCAGTGAATTTGCCTGTTTCAGAGTCATATATAGTTATATGTAAGACTTATATATAATTCACTTATATAGTTTTTGATTTCATTTTTCCTATGATGGAGGTAGACGGGGCACTTGGAATTTAGTTCCTAAATTTCGGGGGGGGGNATCATTACTCAGTCCAAGGGCAGATAGGCTGTGTTAACCCACACTTGGACTCTCCTCGCAGTGCCCTGAGAACGACCGTTCAGGTAAGCCAACGGTCTTTTATTTTATTGTTTGGATTAGTTGGTTCAAATACATAAGGGCATGTGAAAATTTGATTGAAACTATTTCTGTATATTATACCTCATAAAAACAGGTTTTTAACTTACAAGGAATATTAAAAAGAGTTTTTAATGACAGTGAAACTGATGTTTCTAAAACAAATGTATTAGAAATGTATTTGGTTCATATAATGTTTCATTTGGCTTCAGCGTAATGTGCTGAAATATGATTCTTCACTTGCTGACAGTTTTAAATATTTAATGTTTTTCCCCCCAATAATTGCTTTTTAGGTCATTTAATTTCCCGGGCTTTTCTTAAGAGATTTCTCAATATTTGGACAAACAGATACCCTGACACCAAAATGGATCCTATGAACGTTTGGGATGATATAATTACAAATAGGTAAAAAACAATCTGATTCAGTTATTAGTGTTTACATACCTTTATTGTACATCCAAGAATATCTCCAGTAAAATCTCTTTTCCAAGAGCACTTTTTTGGTAGCTTAAGATCTATCAGCTTGGGAGAAAAATAGGACCACTTAGTAACAACTTGAGGACTTCTGCAGTTTTCTGAGACTTCCTAAATAAAAACATTTATTCTTCTAAGTTTTAAAATATCTTTTATTATGAGTTTCAATTATATATTCAGATTGAAACAAACCTGTGGATTGATTCCTGCTCTCAATTGCTGACTTTTACTGCTGAAACTGGCTGGGGCGGTCATTAGAGCTCTAATAAAATCATTAGTATTTCATTGTTATGCCTTGCTGTCATTTTATGAGGCAAAACAAAAATACATTTTTAGAAAGTTGGATGGGTTCTCAGTTTTTTCTTAATTTTTGTGCAGATGCTTTTTCCTTGACAAAATTCAGGAGAAATTTTCTAGTACCTACCTAGATGATAGTGTGGAATTAGATGGAGATGCTACTTTCAGCATGGAAATAGACAATGAGAATGAAGATACACATACAATGATTAAAAACTGCAAATTTGCTATGAAAATGAAGATGATAGAGTGTGCGAGGAACCAGGTATTTATGACCTTTACACAATGAGGTGAAATATGACTGAATAATATAGGCTTTCATCAAAATATATTGTGCCAGCTTTGAGAGATTCAGTCATATTAATTCCTTTAAAATATACTTTAGAATGGCAGGGCTGTGTTTTCCTATCATTATGCTAAGATTTGTTTTAGCCACAGTTTATTGGATTGAGACACATTCAGAGGTACCAAATGAGCAAAAAAATGGGCTTATTTGATCTTTCGAATTAAAAATATTTCAATAAAACACATGATCACTCAAAAAAAAATCCTTACTAGCACTGTGATACTTATTATTGTTATTAATTTTCATATTTTGAACTCGAGATTTTCCCTTTTTCCATATTCTTATGGTAATCTCTTTATTTTTTCTCCTGTTGGATTGTAAAGTAGAACAGTTTCTCAGTAGCCTTAAAGCTTCTGAAGGATTTGCATGAAGATTCTAAGACCTGTGAAGATTGGCGAGTAAAATGGAACCACAGCTATTGTTGTTTTAGCCATAGTCGCAGCCGGGGTCAAAGTAGTGTTGAACAAATTCTTACAGTACTCAAAACTGTTCCTCTACTGGGTAAGTGCTTTGTTTAGATTTTCCATCACTACATAAGAACATCATGATGTTGCGCTTAGGAAAAGATTCTTGGTTGTATTTTCTAGGCATGCAGTACAGGGGTGAGTTGCTACAAGGTTTACTGCAAAAAAAAATTGTTCCCCATGCATTTGCACCTTAAAAAGGTCTGTGCATGCCCACAACTTTAGAAAATGCAATGAAGATTGTTCTGCGTATGCGCAGAACCAAAAATCATGCTGCTAGAACCGGTTCGGGAGCATGGCAGGCCGAGTTACTACCTACTCAGTCCGAACCGGTAGGAATCCACCTCTGATGCATTATTATACCAGCATACTAATTTTATAATTTTTTTGTCAACAGATGAGATTAAACTGAGCAGCATGAACAATAATGCTGTTACTTTCCGTAACCAAAACCTCCTCTTGGGAACTACTTTTCATATAATGGCTAATGCTCTTTCCAAGGATCCAACTTGCCTTGGCAAAATTGGAGAGGAAAAGGCAAGAAAAGTCTTGATGCTTTCAGAAGAAAGACCTGATAATGTTGAAAAAGTAAGTTGCCCATTACATAAAATATGAATGCCTAATTAGAAAAATGAAGGTAGAATTTGAGGTTTTTTTAACCTGATCAAAAATGTGTGATATAAAAGCAAAACACTGTAGCAAATTCAACAGTTATTATTGTTCTCATGGATTCTGGAAATATTTGAAGCAGAACCAAACTCTCTTAATAAAGAAGCATGGTGAACTTTGTTGAGTTTTTCTATTTTTAATTCCTTTCGTTCTCAGTGATTCCTTTTACATTTATTTATGTGTTTATTTAGTAGATTTATATGGCTGTCCATTTCAAATATATGCCTCTGAGCACCTAACAATATAAAAAATAATAAAAATATGCCCATTAAAAAAACCATAAGAAACACAGCAGCCTCTCTTCCCAAATTACAAAAGCAACAATCCGTTACTCAGCAAAACCAAGAAATGGGCTCTGTCATAGATTAGGTCACCAAGTTTGATCACAGAGCCAAGTTTTCAACAGGGATGAGACCAGAGGTTAGGCATCAAAACAGAAAAAAACGTCCACCTAAGCTTTGCCAGCTGTCACTCCTTAGCAGATGGGAATGGATCATCTCCCCCCCCCCCCACTTCAGACTGTTTGGGATACTAAAAACATCATTTTCCAGTGGATCCTGGTTGAGGATAGAGAGGAGAAAAGTGTTGACACAGTTTGGGACAGACGTTTGCTTTTAGATCTGAGAGAGCATGGATATGAGAATGAGTTTGGATCTAGTTAAATATATTCCTGAAGTACAAGCATATCATAAACATAATAGTGGCCACAACAAAATGATTAATTTTAACTCCAGTGATTTCTTGCAGATGTATTTGTACATTCTGATCAGTGATAATATTCCATTTAGATTCTTCAGGTAATATTTTTCTCTTATATGACCACAAGCATTTCATTACACAATAAAGCAAATTATTACACCCCCTGACAAGAGCTTATGATTGTGCCTTTCTCCTTTCCATTTCCAAAGAAAGGTCAAAATAGAGACTGACAAAAGGTCCCTCTACTCAGAAATTTAAAAATGGAAAAGGTATGGCATTCTTAAGAGCAGAAGATTGGTTAAATAAATACTCAAATTTGGAGTCAATACATTTATTTCATCAAGTCTTTCCAGTATCTTGCTTCCATTGTTTCCATTTTTTAATCTATGAATGTTAGTTAGATATTTTCTTCCCACCTGTGTCCCTTAGTTTTATCTCTCTTTTTTTTTTAAATTAAAATTTTTAAATTTTTAATTTAAAACAAATACAACATCTTTCTTTACATGCTATAGAAAGTGTATCAGTTGGTT